GTAGCCAGAATTACAGGCATGCGCTACCACGCCCGGCTGATTTTTTGATTTATTGTAGAGTTGAGATCTCGCTACCCAGGCGGGTCTTGAACCCGCGGGCTCAGGCAGTCCACTCAGCTCAGCCTCCCAAAGGCGCGGGATTACAGGCTGAGCCACCGAGCCCGGCTATGCATAAGTTTTTGTGTGGATGTTTGTTTTCATCTCTCCTAAGTATACACCTAGAAGAGGAACTTCTTGGTCATATGGTAATTCTGTGTTTAACTTTTTGAGGAATTGCCATACTGTGTTTCACAATGGCTGCCCTGTTTTACATCCCACCAGGAAGGCATGAGGGTTCCCATATCTTGATGTCCTCCCCAACACTTGTTATTTTCCTTTTTCTTTTTAAAATTATAGCCATTCTATGATGAGTATAACGTGGGCTGTCATAGTTTTGACTTGCATTTCCCTAATGAGTGGTGATGTTGAACGTCTTTTTATATGCTTATTGGTGTAGCCTCTTTTTATTATTCTTTCATTAAACAGTTTTGTTTGATGAGTCTCTGTGGGATAGTTCTATGATATGGGCCCTGCCCTGAGGTTATTAATACTCCAGTGGGTAAGGTAGACCTCAAAGCAGATAATTGCAACATGGTAAGATAATACACTACAATGAAGGTGTGTACAATGTGACATGGGTCCTTTGAGGAGGAAGGAGGAGGTGAGTGGAAGCTGAACAGAGTCTGTCAAGCACTCTGAGGAAGGAAGGGAATGTTCCAATTAGATGGAAGAGCATGGAGCCTTGGGTATAGCAGGTAGAAGAAGGTGGAGCTTCAGGTGAAGAGGGTCACCCATCACAGGTCAGGCAGTTAGGCAGGACCCATCTTCGTGAAGCAAGACTGCTCTGCTCCCAAGCCAGGAGGCAGTACCTGCTCAGCTTTGCCATCTACTGTATGCTGGTCTGTACAGAGCTCTCTGGTTTTCAAGTCACATTTGCTGAGCTGATTTCATCCCACTTGAGGTAGTTATGTCTTCATTTCTACAGACAGTGGAAAATGATACTCAATGAGATAGCAGCTTCCCTGACTTCTCATACCTATGAAGTGGCAGAGCTGGACTTGGAATCCAGGTAGTTTGACTCCTAGTCTTTTCTACATCTGCAAACTAAACCTTAGCTCCTCATAACTTGGCATTCAAGGCCATTTGTTATCTAGCCCCAACCACCTTCTCTTCCTTCCTCACCTCTCTCTCATACCTATAAATACTGAAATATCTTTTCCATAACCATTCCAGTCTAAATATTTTCCCAGCCTTCCTCCTTTGGCTTCTGCCCTTCCCCTCTCTTTTGTGGTTCAGATTCTCATAACCCTTAAATGGCTATGCTGATATGCGTACCAATGTTAAAGGGCCATTTACTCTGCTTAAGTTCTTAACATACAGAATAGATCATCTTCACAGCATTCTGGCTATGTGAGTAGGAGTTATTTACTTCAAGTCACAAATGAAATAGGCCCAGTAAAATAAAGTAACTTACTCAAGATCACCCAGCAAGTAAAGAGTCTAGCTCAAATGCTACTTCCTCTCAAAAGCCTTCCATGGTTATACTGACCAAAGTTATCTCCCTTTCTCCTGAAATCCCATAGTAGTGACTTCTCCCTTGTTCAAACTCAGGGGTCTCAGATGACTTAGGTCTTCTTTTCATGAGTTTTTAGCTTATATCCCCAACGGAGTATTAATTCATCTATGTTGCCAAGGCCCAGCCTAGATCCTGCAGGGTAAGTTCTCAGCAAATGTTAACCTGAGGCATAAGAAGAAAGCCTGTGGATCTGGATGATGTGGTCTGGGTTCTCCTACAATCGTGTTATGACACTGATTTCTGTGACCCTGCACAACATTGAGCTGTCCAGGATGGGGACCCTGTCTGAACTTCCCTTCCTTTGTTTCTGGGCTTGATTGTTGCATGGATGGATGCACAAACTTTACCACTTAGAACCTCATTTTTCTCATCTGCATTTTGAAAGGGTTGAATGAGACCATTTGAAGATCATTCTCCATTCAAATATTACCTAGTTTTGTGAGTCTGAATGATTGATTCTCTCCACACCAGCATGATCCTGAACTACAGAGTTTCAGCCCAAAGAGGCAAAGCATAGCTTGTCATTTCCAGTTTGGTGGCTGCATGTCAAACTTTTCCCTTGAACTTGTCAAACTGAAGACTAGCTCAGGAACTTTGCTGTATAGCACATTCAGAAGTCCTAATACCGTCTTCTCATTCTCTCTTTCTCTTTTTGTGTTTTTTTTCCTATGTGTATACACATACACGCATGCGCACGCGCGTGCACACACAACACACACACACACACACACACACCCCCTTTCAGGATAATTTCATTTGAAACACTTTCTCTAGGTTTTACATTTTAGCAGCTTTTTGGCTTAGAAAGAGTCAACAATGATTTGTAGGAGGGAAACTGTTGCTCTTTTAGAAAAACCGAAGTCCCTACTGTTGCTCATGCCTAACCCATTGTATGTATTTTATAAACATGGAGAGAACAAGAACAAGCCATTGTGAAAATAGAACCCAAGGATTGCTCCTCTGCTCAGCATTCATTTTCACCAGTAGGTGTTGTCAACAAAGACGACCTCTTTTTTTCCTGGGCAGTTTCTTTATGTTGCTTCTTACCCTGCTTAAATAATGTCTTTATTTTTAAAATTAAATCTTTATTCACTGTATGCTTCAGGGAATAAAATGATTCAGAGCATATTGATAGCATCCATTGAGTGCCAGGTGTGTACCAGGTGCCATTCGGTGAGTTGTGTGAATTATTGCTGTCATCCCAGCTCCCATTATCAAGGAGAAAACTGAGCTTGGAGACTAAATCCCTTGCCCACCTCTCCTCATCCTGTCATAGTAAAGCTAAGGTTCATACTCAGGTCTTTCTGATTCTGGAGTCCCACCTCTGACTGGTAGAGGCTCCATTCCTAAGACCATTTAGGAAGATTTAGCATTTAAGTACATTCTAGGATGGTTATGCACTTATAAGCAGCCTTCTTAGTTTTACTAACAAGCTGTGAGAAGACTAGCCTGGGAGAAGTGTATGAGCATACTTAACATCTACATGCATGCAAACACGCACACGCACACACACACACTCACACATAAAGACCCTTGGAGACTGGATTTAACCAGCTATCTGGCCATGTGCTACATCCAGCATTGGGCAACATTCTAGAAAGGCACTTAGGAAATAGCAGTGGGAACCTTTGAGGAATATAGGAAACAGTAATTCCCAAAGTCTCAATGCAAGCCCAGAACACAAAGTATTTTACCACAAGAGGCCAGTTCCAGAGCGGGTTCAAATTTCTAGCTCTGGAGCCCGCTGTTTGAACTTTTACTTTTGATATCTGCAGTGACAGATCTAAGAAGTACAGTTTGAAATCTGTGCAGGAAAAAAACAAAAAAACAAAGACTCTATTGGGTTATCTGAGGGTAGAGCTTAATAATCAGAAAGTAAGGATAAATAATACCTCTTTGTATCTGTGTAGCACTCTACAGTTTGTAGTGCATTTCAGTGTGAGTTCACAAAAAGTGTGAGGAACCAGAGGCCTGTTTCCCACTTCTGACTCTTCCTCAGACTCAAACAGTGGGCAAGGCTTTCTGTCTTCTGGATTTGCATTTCCTCATTTGTAAAACGAGAGAATTGAACCATTTTGTCACCAAGGTCCTTCAAACTGTGACATTCTGTGATTCGATACCAGTAAAAAGGCAATAAATGTTACTCTTCCCTTTTCCACCTTATTTCAGTCTGCTTTGTATCAGGGCTATGGGGAGGTCCCTGCCCTTACAGCTTAGGCTATTCCCTTTTATACTTATTGGTACCTAAGCTAACAGAAACCCACCAAGTTCTTCTGGGAAGACACTTGGCTTATAAAGATCTCAGTTATTGAGGGATTCATGTGCCAGTTAAGTTCAGACCAGAGAGCAGTCTAAGGGCTATTCCAGTTCCAAGATTCTAGAATTCCATAAAAGGCCACCCTTTAAAATGTATTTAAAGAAACCCCTAAGCAAATTCATTGGATGCTGTTTCAACACTTTGTATGGCAGTGCTTTTAGCAAACACCCTTGATCCTCGAGTTTGATCTGCTCTGCTGTTATTAGGATCCCTGCATGCAGGAGGGAACAGGCCTTGAGTTTGTTTGCTTTTCATTTTTAACTGGTCTGGCCTCAGTTATTTTCTAGCTTTTGAGGTTTTGGGCATTTTGAACTCATAATGACTCATTTTGACTTATAATGAACCTTGTTCTTTTGCTGTGCATTTTAGAAGACAAATCTGACCTTGAAAACAGTGTGATGCAGAAGAAAATAAAAATCCCCAAACTTTCTCTTAATCATCTAGAAGAAGATGGGGAGGTTAAAGATTATGGGGAAGAAGATTTACAGCTTAGACACATCAAGGTAACAAAACCTTTTCTTTTTTTGGAAGTGTACAGGAGCATTTTCAGATTGCTCATAGTTAGAGAATTGCGGTCTGGCCTCTTCTCCTCATGTAAATGTCACCTGCTATCAGGCCATGATGTTTCGGGGACTAGGAGAGGCTTGGGACAACTAGTGTGCATTTGCCTTGCTGGCCAACTTTCCAGGAAACCCTGATTCATGCTGTACCACCAAGCTCGGTCCTTTTTGCATAGTCTGTGCAGTGTCATTGCTGTTGGAGGTTTGGAACGATGTTTCACCCTGGCCCATAGCCCTGGAGAGGTCACTGCTGGGCCCCAGGAATGTTAAGCAACTGTTTGTGTGCAGTAATCTAGAGCCAGTCACTATCAGATTGCCCCAAGCAGCCAGAGTAGACTCATTGGGAAGTAAGCAAGGTTCACAGAAGGGATTTGTGGGACCCTTGTTAGGTCAAAAACTTTTGCATGAGGTTACATTTCCTTACCCCAGTTGATCTCCTTTAGCCTTTACTTTGTAAACCTGCTGAAAAGCTAGCCACTTTTTTTCTGTGCAGTGGGTACCCCAGAAGAAGGAGGGTGGGGAGAGAAAGAAGAAGGATACCTACTGCATTGACCATGGTCTGATTTTGGACACAAGGTCAAGGACATTCTTGTGATCATTGCAATTTTGGCTAAGTTCATCTACACTAGCAGCACCTTATCCCAGCAGATAAAACAACTTAGGATTTTGTCATGTAACTCAATCTCAGAGTCATAGCTTGGTTGGGTTTCATTTTACTTTCCCTGAATTTCCTGAAGTTTAGTGAGAGTTGTCTGGAATATTGTATTCTCAGTTGTCTGCACTTCCCACAGTTGCCCCCAGTCAGGAGAGCTCCTAACTCTCTTGTCCTGGGTGAAGAATTCAGTTGGTCTGTAATTCCCACTGCCCCTCAGCTTTATCCACTTGAGCTGGACCTTCCTCAGATAAATCTCTTCTAAATGAACTTTCCTGTCTGTATCTACTGTCTGCTGAGGGAGAGGCTGGCAGATGTGGGGGAAGGAAGCTTGTGTTGGAAATTGGGTTCCAAATTCTGGTTCTGGCTCTGTGTATAACTCACCATGTGACCCTGAGTATAGTCCTTTTCCTCTCTGAGCCTCAGTTTCCTCACCTGTAAAATGAGCAAGTTAAACTAAAAGTGCTGGCATTGTTTGAAGTTTTCAGTTGAGTAAACACTTATCAAGCCCCAGCTGAGTGCCAGTTCTGAGTGAGTAGGCAGAGGAGAAACAGAAAAAAAGAAATGATTTCCGCCCTGGATTAGAGTAAAGTTTTAACATCCTTTCCAATTAAAGCATTCTTGACAAAAAAGGTTCATGGTGGGGTGTCTTTTCTCGGAGGGGGGAGGTATTTTATGTTTTTGTTGTTGAAGAGAATTTGAGTGTGACGCCCCTGAAATGGGTTGGCCTGGCCTGATTTCTCCCTTATTCTCCACAGATACATATTGAGCACCCCCCTGAGCAAGCCACTGCCTAGGCAATATGGGTGGGCTGGGGGGCTGTGTAGTTGGGAAGGATGGTTGTGGTATTAGTGTCTTGGTTCTGCCACCAACTGACTGTGTGACTTTGTCCAAGACTCTTCCCCACTCTGGGCCTCTGTTTCCCCATTTTTAAAATGCAGGGCTTTGTCTAAGTGTCTGCACAGCTTTCTCCAAGCACTTATGTTCTGTGGTTCTGTGATTTTAGGATTGTCTGGCGAAATATTGAGCCGCAGTCCAAGAAAGTCCCAGCTGCCCTTGCCTGAACTGATTCTCGTTGTCCTACACAGAGACCTGAGGGGCGGAAGCCGAGCGAAGTGGCACACAAGAGCATCGAGGCAGTGGTGGCCCGGCTAGAGAAGCAGAACGGCCTGAGCCTGGGCCACAGCACGTGTTCGGAAGAGGTCTTTGTGGAGGCCTCACCGGGCACAGAGGACATGGACAGTCTGGAGGATGCCGTTGTGCCCCGGGCTCTGTACGAGGAGCTGCTGCGCAATTACCAGCAGCAGCAGGAGGAGATGCGCCACCTCCAGCAGGAGCTGGAGCGGACTCGGAGGCAGCTGGTGCAACAGGCCAAGAAGCTCAAGGAGTATGGGGCACTTGTGTCCGAAATGAAGGAGCTCCGCGACCTTAACCGGAGACTCCAGGACGTGCTGCTCCTGCGACTTGGCAGCGGTGAGTGCCCCAGCAGGCCACCTACCACTCCACATGGGTGGAACGCTTTGCGCAGCTCCTCTTCCAAGAAAGCAAGGGGAAGAGGCAGTCCGGGTGACCCTGAGGCTAGGGAAGGACAGACACTTGGCCCAGCAGTTACCCCAAGAAAGAGTCACCCCCCTCTCATGGTGAATCTGATAGGAGCTTATGTTTGCAGCATCCTCAGCTATGGGAACATCAGGGAACGTGGCTCAGAGAATAAGAACTGACAAAATATTTGTCGCTGCTCATTTATGCATTCATTCAGCACAAGGTAGTACCAAGGATTGTAGTGAACCTCTCCAAGGAGGTTTCAGGATGGCAAAGAGACATGATCCTAAGAACATGTATTAGTCAGAAAGTGACAAATGTGTCAAATGAGGTTGCTGATAAAATAATGAGTATTCATGGCTTTTTTGTGGGGGGAGAGTTCTTTGTAACTGAGGATATGGAGAGACTTCAGGAAAGAAGTGGGCCTAGAACTAGGCTGTGAAGGGAGGACAATGTTTTAAGGTGCAAGAGAAGGCTGAAGGCGGCACTCATATATGGGAAACCACCTGGAACATACTAAAAAGGAATACTGCAAATGTGCTTGGAGGACAGATGATGGAAGGCCTTCAAAATTTTACCAGCCTGAGCTGTCTGGAATTGTTTTACTAGGAATGGGGTCATTAAAAAGCTTTTGAGCAGGGAGGCACATGACCTTAGGAAGGTGAATATAAAGATGTATAAAACTCTATTGGTTTCTCATAGAAGAACTAAATAGGCTCTTATATTGCACCCAATTTTAAGTAACCACGTTTTTAGGTTTTTCTCATCTACAGTGGTTTAGAAGTAGGAATCAGAAGAAAACAAAAAGGCAGCAACCTCAACAACAGGGAGAAATGACTGCTTACCAAAGAGGAAAAGACAGAAGAACGCTTTCAGAACATAAAAATCCAGAATTGTAAAGAACAGAGGCCTGTCAGTATTGAGGAATTTAGTGTAACACAAGTTCATAGTCTATGTAGCTCCTGGGGACAATCATTAATAATCCTGAGTCAATATGCTTTGCTTGAAAAGGGGAGTAATCTAGTCTAGAAACACAGATTTTATCCCAGAGTTTGATTAGATAAAATTTTGCACTCAATAAGGAAGGTTTCCATTATCTAGATAATAAATGTAAAGCTTCATTCTTCTTTATTTGTTTAGACAAATATGCTTTTCCTTATTAAAGTATGTATGTCCCCAAGGTAGTTTCTCAGTAGAGCTTAGATGGCCCAAAGAGTCAGCAGATGGGCCTTTTCATGCCCTTGTCATAGAAAAGGAAACTAGGCTGGACTTCCCAGAGTCACTTGTGGGGCAGAGGCAGAGCTCTGTCTCAAACCAGTCACCTAGTACAAGGGCTAGTCGTTTTCCTTCTCCCCAACTCCACCATTGCCTTGGCCGTTATCTCAAATTACAGCCTGTAGAGGTTCACAGGGACACTAAAAGTCACATATGATTTGCAATTTCAAAAGTTATTAAAGTTCTTTATTAAAATAAAATCTCAATGAGAAACCATAAATGTAAAGTTTGTAAAAGCTGTATTGGCGTTGGGGTGAGGGTAGGGGATGGGGAGATAATTTGTATTTTCAGAGAGAAAAAGCAATGTTTCCTGATCTTCAAGTGAGTAATTTTTCTTTTCAATGTGTTCTGTATGCTATGCCTTTTGTCAACTTCTTGGGGTTGGGGGTGGCAAAGTATATCAACAACAAAAATGCTTCACACCATTATTTTAACTCCCAGGGAAACTACCTGTTTTTCATGGTTGTGAACTGAGTTTAAACTCCAGAAATCACTTCTAAGCCTCTGGGTAATAAGACATTCTGCATTTTATTTACCATATGCCTCTGTTAGTCCTGAAACACTTAAACAAACTTGAGCCCAACTATAGTTGCAGTATCTTGATCTTCCCAGTTCTCCCATCTCACAGGCCTTGAAGGCCATCCCATGGGCCAGTGGCTAGCTCTTTCCTGATCTGAATCACTATCATCATCACAGTGGGAAGGACTCAACATAAAGCAGCTCAAGCTACAAGTATGCATGGAGCACCTGCCCTGTGCTTGCAGGGGCTACAGGCATCCTGGAAAATCATACCCATTATCCCTACCCTGTGATAACTTAGGATCTATTGGTTATCACATGTTCATTGGAGAATGGAAATGTGCCAAGTTCAAATCCACAAAAATGCAATAAAAGTATCTGTACCCTTAAGAGGGGGTTGCATGCTTTCATGGAAATAATATAATCTTTGGAACCCAGCAGACTTGGATTTAAATTCCAGCTTCCCTACTTCCCAACTCTGTGGTTTTGGGAACCTTCTTTTCTCCCTTTCTTCCCTTCTTTCCTCTGACCTTATTTTCTTCCACAAATACTTACTGGTCTCCTTCTATGTGCCAGGTGTTTTGCCTATGGGGGAGAATTCATTATATATGTGATACAGCCCTTGCCCTATGTTCTCTAGAGCTCAAAGTTTGATAAAGGAGACATTTTGAAACAACCAATGACAGCATAGTACATAAGAGCCAAAACAGGGACAAAAGCAGAGAAGACTAGGACAGCAAAGGAAGGGCAGCCAACACATTTTAAGGGACTAAGAAAGAAAGGCTTTCTGAAGGAAATGACTTCTAAGCTGAAGCCTGAGGATATATATTTTTTTTAATCCAAGCAGGTGTGAATAGGTGGGGAGAGTGAGGAGCAGTCCAGGCAGAGAGCACCTACCGATCTGAGCCTCAGTGTTCTCATCTGTAAAATGGGAATGATGATATCCTCCTTACAGTCTTTTGACATACAGCGTATTGCCTGATGCTCTGTTGATGCATGATTACTGTTCGGTGCTGTTCCACATCATTTAGTGAAGACAGGGTTCACTTTAACTTTTAACTCAGACTCCCCCAAACAGTAAGTAATTGACTGGATGACCTTGGGCAACTTAACTAACTTCTCTGCTTCTCAAAATTCTCTTATATTACGGAAAACAAAAGGAGTTATATATGGTCTGTTCATTTTTTTATTCAGTCAGCTGGCATTGACTATACACTTTCAGAGCCTAGGAACTTTTGGAGATACAAGGAAGACTAAGACATTGGGACATAGGGAGAGGGTAGTAATGGAGGTCAACATGTAATTAACATCCAGAGTATGAGTTCTGGGGGAGGGGCTAGCATCTGAAGGTGGATCTCTCTCTCAGTGAGTCTGGGAAGATATCCCCCTGTCGTAATATCTGCTGATCTATAAGCACGACCAAGAAACAAGGCAGAGAACAGCCAGGAAGTAAGTGAGAGATCCTTATCTGACTGTCAGTTTCATATGACCTCTAGAGAGCACATCCTGACCTGGGGTTGATGGAAGGTCTGGACTTTACCACTGTCCACTCCTTGGGTCTGGCCTTGAATAATTTTACTTGCCCACCTCAGCCAGGGACCTTCTCTCAGGGACTTTTGTTCAGGTTGAGTGATGGATCTTTCACACCGTAATAGGCAAATTCAGAGACCAGGGAGGCCAACAGGTCAGGAGGTGCTCAGTTTTAAAAAGAAATCTACTTTCTTGGAAGAATCATTGTTTATTTGCCTGGGCAATGGGGTCCTGCAAGCAGCAGATGAAAAGCAATGGAGAACAGTGCCCTAGCCTCCTCACCTTGTGGAGGTTGGGAGCAGAGGTAAAGTCACATGCAGAAGGAGGGAATAGCAGCAAGACAGTGTAAGAGGATGTTTCAGAGGCTTCGCTGGACTGTTCGCTTCTTTATTTGTGCATTTATTCACTCTTCTTTCATTCATTACACAGACACACACACACACACACAAATACAAAAAAAAAAAACCGGTGGATTTAACAAGAAAGCTTCTCTACAACATGGAGACCTGGAGTTGAGAAAGAACTTAGAGAGATTCTAGACTGTTGCCCTCATTTTGCTGATGAGGAAACCAGCCTAGAAAGTATCACAGGCTTATTCCCCAAGGTCTCCTAACACCTAGTAGGTCCTGTGTGCCTCTCTCTGGAGCCTCACCCACATGGTGTTCTTTAAATGTTACACTTCCTTATGGTCAACATGGGAATGACTCCTTTGTCCCCATCTCCCCCTAGAAAGGGACATCTTCTCTCTTTGTAAATCAGAACTTTGCTTTTCTATGATCTTAGCATGAGAAACAACCCCTTCTGCTGGTAAGGAAGCCATGTGATCAGCATATTGTAAGTGTTCAATAAATGCCAGTCCCTTTTTCCTTTTTTACCCCTCTTCTGCTTACCTTCACCCTCAAAAAGTAAATGCCAAGGATGTGAAAAGCATGAAGACATTCTAATTTACAAGGTACAGATGTGTGCATATTCATTCATTCATTATTTCTTTTGTTCAACAAACATTTATTGAGAGTATGCTTTATGCCAGGACTGGGTTGGGTGCTGGGACAAGACAGATTCTCTTTTCTTATCCAATTCACAAATGGGCTAGAGTAGTGTTTTTAAACTGGGCGTTGGCAGCCACAGAGAATCGTAAGGGGATGAGAGGAAGCAGAACAATAGAGATCCAGTGGGAAGGGTAAACTCCCAGGTATGAAAATGGAGTGAGCTCTTGGGTCTCTCTCAGTCTCTCCTCACCTCGAGTCCCTATGCTCAGAAGGCAAAGACCAAGGCTTAGGTCTCCTTCTCAGTTAGTAACACTGTGAGTACCCCTTAGATAGTGTAATTCGTTTTAGTATGACTCAGGTATCATTAGTTCAAGTAAGACTCTAAGGGCTCTATGAGGACTATAAAGAGGAGTAGATGTGATCCTTCCCTTCAGGATGCACACAAGTCTAACAGGAAGCACAAACACGTACACAGCATGACTCCAGGCAGAATAAAATCAGTGCTGTAAGTGCAGGAGGGAGGCAGGTGATGGTTTTAAATTTCACGTTTTTTTCCAGGAATGTAGGCAGAAACGATGAATTCTGACCAGAATAGGCACAGATAAATAAAATAATAAC